TCGAAGTCATCTACAAGCAAAGGAATAACTTCCACATTAGGTAAGTCTTGATCGTTGTCATCGGTCTTAAAGACAGCTCCCGCAAGTGCCATGGACAGTTGCTTTTCAATTATGAAACAGTAGCTGATAAGTAATTCCCCAAAGAAGAAAAAAGCAAGAAGAGTCCTCAAGAACACCATAAACAAAATCGCTCCCTGACAGTCACACCGCCCTGCGGTCTCTGTGCAACCCCTGGCTCACAAATCGCTTTATCGCATCTCCCAGTAGTGGATATCATCCAGTGCAAAGAAAAGATCACGACAACAAAAACTCCGAAGAAGAACTTTCGAAATGAAAAAGAAAATAAACCTTTCGAAACTCGGCGTCCGAATTTAGGGTTACGGTAGCGTGCATCTTTTAGTGTAGTGCGTCGAGCTTTTGCACCACGAAAATTGGGTCGCTCGTGATTTTTACGCGTTTTACCTTGCGAGATGGGTTGGAGTTGACTGTATGTGCTCCATGAATGAACTGTAATAAAAGAGAGCAGAATCATTCATTGGGCAGAAAGGACGTGCAATTCCGATTAATGCCCATCGCCTCAACAAGAGGAACAACTGAGCGCCTCCGTTAGAGGCATCTAGCAAGTGGGCGGTCCATGGGCGGGCGTTAGAACTAGAGTTTTCAGCGGCTTAGCTCGCTCCTCGCTCGCTGTGGAGACGAATAGAGTGGGACAGTCTAGCTTGGAGGCTGTACTACTTGCACAAGGAAGGACGACCATGTACTACTCGAGCGCGGGGGCTCCTTTAAACGAGACCCAATTCGATCTCTTCATTATAGGTATCAAAGCGGGACCATCACAAGCTACCGTACAGAGACACATTGATAATGCGCAGAAAAGCAGAATTCTTCAGCTGAAGTCGTGTGGCTTGAAGGCTCTACCGTCCTCATCTGAACGAGGTTTTGTTTACAGCAGTTTATAGCATTTCATAACTTATTTATTCTTTCTTTCCGTCTCTAGCTTCACGATGTAATACGAAATCTGGAACTAAGTCAGAATAAACTAAAAGAGTTGCCACCGACTATAGGGGCTTTCACCGTCCTCAAGCAGCTACATCTCTCAGAAAATGCTCTCAGTAAGTGAGATTTCGCATGGATTTGTCTTTTTTTTCTGGAAGTAATACCAGTTGTTTTGTTAAGCTGAACTTCCTCATGAGATTGGAATGCTGAAAAATCTGGAGATTCTCCAAGTGCAGTCGAATAAACTATCATCTCTGCCCGACAGCTTGGTTGGCTGTACTTCACTGAAGACGCTCAATATTTCGGCTAATAGCTTCACGCAATTTCCTGTGGTTGCTTGTCACTTGATGTCACTGGAAACGTTAAATCTTGCTCAGAATACTATCAGCGAACTTCCGGATGAGGTAACTTTTTCATACAGGTTTCTATTTCGAAGGTACTTTTTGCGGACAGCTAGCATGTGGAATCTGTTCCCCGTATAAGGTGCGCATGTCTGCGCTGCAAAAGATCGTCCACCTGCGAAATTTTATAGCAAGGATGTTAGGAGGTTGTGATGTATTAGAGGGAGCCTCTAATACATCACAAGCTCCTAATGTCTCCGCCCCGTTACTCTGTCAAACAACCTCAACCCAACGAACAAGCGCCTTAAAGTTAATGGTAGTAACCAAAAGTGTTCCAAGATGTTAGCATGTACCGACGTACAGCCGTGTCGATTTGCTGGCAAAAAGTCACAACTTTCGAAAAACTCGTCCAAAGGCTGGTGAAGTTGCTCAAAATCGTACTCGTCCAAACTCAGATAAATTCGCCAAATTCATATCTTATTTGGGGCGTGCTTCTTTATTACTTGCTTCGCTGTTGAATCGTAACACTTGAAAACTTGTATTTTGGTTCCACATGTATTTCCATTGTGAAATGTGCCTTCATGTAATACATTGTTGCCTTGTTTTGGAACTGTGCATTTCAGGTAAGCTCGCTGAACGCATCCGAGGTGAACTTGAATCAGAATCGCCTCAATTTCCTCAATGCTGATGCTCTTGCCAAATGTCCTCATTTGAAAATTCTCCGGGTCGAAGAGAATTGTCTTGCCAAAAATGAATTCACTGTCAGTCTTCTCAAACACTCTCCTGTTAGTATTATAAGCTATTCGGGTAATATTTTCCAAGATCGAGAATTCCAAGATTTACCCGGATACGAGGACTACCAGGAACGTTTTACTGCGACGCGACGAAAAATGTGATTTGTTTTTATGTTGATACATGGTTCATAATCGCTAGTGTAGTTAGGT